GTTGGACAGGTGTACCTAATAAAGTGGCCGGTGAGTGTAGTTCATTTGCAAAAAAGCACAATGTGAATGCAAACCGCACCAAACGAAAAAAAAAAAAAGTCCATTTTTGGTCCGGACCAAACAATTGGACCAAAGGACTTTCCTGGTCTGAATACACCCTAAATTAGCTGCTTCTGACATTTTAAATGATATTGCAGTTGTACTATCAGCAAAAATGGGCACATCAGAACCGCAGCATGCAGAACTTACTTGTTTTCTTCTGGGTCTGTGGCTCAGTCCCGCCCCTGTCCTTTTTTTGTCCAATGGGAGCAATGATCGTCACACTCATGATTTTGTTTACAAGTTATAGTTCATTTGCAAAAAAGCACAATGTGAATGCAAACTGCACCAAAGACTTTCCTGGTTTGAATACACCCTATATCTAAGACTTGGCAGATCAGAAAGATGAGCATGGCAAAAGACCTTTCAATATATTGTTATAGATTATATTTAAAATAGTCATTGAAAAACAGACTGGATTTTATGTTAATATTTAACATTTTTTAGATAAGCTTTAACATTTGTTAGTTATTTTTAACACTTTATTTCAATATATACCATTTGTTTTTGTTTTTTTAGTTTTTTTTTTCTATTATCTTCCCTCCAGCCTTCTGAGGCCCCCCTAGTGCCCCCAGGTGGCCCCCACTTTGGGAACTTTATATGATATCTATGGCCACAATGCTAAGCTGCTTAGTTTCTGCAGTAGATCACACAGTCATGTGGTTTCAGCCTCTCCAGTACTTCCTCCATGTGTGCATGTAGCTGCGCTGCTCTCTGGTGGACAAACAAAACTCCTGCAGTCATTCAAACTGAAGCGAGTGAGACCACAGTTAAACTTTTTAACTAAGTGATATGACAGACAAGTTTTTACTCCTCTCGGGTTTAATCAAGGCTCAACATGGTTCTTGGGTTTAACAGATATTTATTGTGGACCACGTCTTTTACACGCCTTAAAATGCTCAAWTAATGTCGTCAGAACTMAGAAAAGAAATACAAATTCAAACTAGCTCATGACAAATATAGAATTKACATAAATGACACATGGATAAAACAAAACAATAAAACTGTACCTCATTGGCCGCATTAACTCCAGAGAAATAAATATGAACTATCAACAATATACCACTTGTCTCCAGTGAAACTTATGAGCGGTCTCATGTATGCGTGCCAATTAACTGTACCCAGTAAGCAAYAGTTTCCCCTTATAGCTTTAACACATCCATCCAAACAAATAAACTCCACGTGCATTACTTTTTCTGAAAGTTATTACATTCCCAATATTGAACACTTAATTTCAAATACTAATATTTATTTATTGCCTTTTTAAACTAAACACCAAAAAAATATAATGGAATAAACACCTGCTGCCTTCAACAGCAGCTACACAAGTAGTAAATAATTATGAAAAAAATCAAAGCTGAGGATATTAACACCCAGAAACCTGCTTTTTTATGCCTCAATAACTATTTKAACATCCTTCAGCCATAATTCAATAACTCCATAACAATATGATGGACACATAAATCCAGTCATTGGAAAATTTGTCCAATATAATGTTATTTCACTGGACTCTGATCCARAACTGCATTCTGCTTTAGCAGCTCAACCTCTCACGGCCCAGCTAAGTGAGGTTGGTGGCATCAACTAACTCACTCTCTCTTTGGTAAGCTAGCAACAACSTGCTGAGTAACATGCACAGTAACAGTTTCATGTTTCTCCACAGTGCCTCATAACTGCTTCAAAATAAAGAAGGATGTGGAGTGAAAGGAGAAAATGAGTGCAACAGCTCATGAGGAAATTGTGGATAAAAGAGGAATGGTCACATCAGCAGTTTGGCAAATATAATCAGCCTTTTATCTCCTGGTCCTTTCTTCAAATAGATAAAACAAAATACGAATCAATAATTATTGGTATCAACTGATATGAAATATTTATATTGTGATACATTTTTCAGTCATATCACCCAGCCATACTTCCTAAAAAAACTTCAAAACCAYTTCAGACCCACAGTGATTTACATTCAAACATGGACAATATTAAAAATTAAATCCAATAAAAAATAATGTTGATGTTATCAATAATGATCGACACACACAAAATAAACATGAACAGAAAAAATTGACAGAAGAAAATTACTTTATTAGACACCAAGTTAAAAAAACAACAGAGTTGACTCCAAAGTTGATGAAACAAAGAACTCTCAGTGCTCAGAATATAAGTTAGGGATCAGATTTTAGCTCCATATCTGTAAAGTTGACTGAGTTAAAGACATTTTGTGAAGGCTAAAGTCAGTTATCTGTGGCAGAGCAATGGTCCTACTTGCGAGGCCCCCRCTCATATGGATTCTTCCATCCCCGCTCACCAGAACCATGTCTGTGGCAGCCATCTTGACTCTAGAAGTCAATCACTTATAGACRTGCATTTTTCTAACTGGCAGACAAACACACCCTCACAGACATTATGTGATTATGTCATGGACYGCCTCTCAGCAACTGGTGATAACCTGTTTTGTGTGTTTGTGCTCCTCCGGTGTCTCCAGTTGGTTTCCGTGCACAGTGACAGGTCCGGTCACTCCGTGAGTCGTGCTGTCAGCAGCTCTACCTCCTCGATAGATGACCTCTCCCACACGGCAGGAGGTGTTGGGGGCTTCCCGGTGTTTGGAAGCGGGTACCCCAGCTCCCTGTCTCACCTGGAAGAAGGAGGCTTTGAGCAAGACGAAGGAACGGCAGAGGTCACCTGCATGTGACTGAGGCCACCTCTCACCTCCACACACACAAAAGACTTTAACGTAGGATGACTCAGCACTTTTCAAACTGATTGCAGTGGAGCCACAGTGAGAAGATTCACTTGGACATGAATCTTTTCATAAAGTCTGCTGTCATTCATTCTACACCCCAGCTGGTATACGACTGACATTAAACATTCAAATGTTGAAATAAGGAAAAACATTCAAAATCAAAACAATGTTGAACACCCAACAGATGAAATGGTTTTAGCTCTCTGTGGATCCAGCTCTGAAATATCAACCAGTTTTGAGTTGTATGTCTAATCAACATTATTTTTCACAAAAATGACTAAAACGTTTTGCTGAAATATGTCCATGAAAAAAAATATCCTTGTTCCAACATCCAGTCAATGCGGATTAATTAACCGTTGGAAAAGTGTTGCCACATGAATAATGGTGCAATGTTAAAAGCTCAACTCTGAATCTGTTGTTTGAGTTCATGTCCTATCAACATCTACCGGCGTACTTTTGGAAGCATGACGAGTACCGTTAGCTCATTTCAACATCTGCTAAAAGAAATACTGTCGGGAGGGCTGTTTGTTTTTAGCATGTAGCATCGCTAGACCGCTTGATGACAGAATGTATTCGATTTCAGTCTTTTTGACGCCTGCAAGGTTTCACAGAAAAGGCAGATGTGGATTTTTATTCCAGAATAAAATAAAATGGAGATGAGATGAATTATAACATTGTCTAGAAATTAGGTCTACTTGGGTCGGCAAGTTAATATAAATAAATATGTACACATTATAAATCTACACTCACCGGCCACTTTATTAGGTGCACCTGTCCAACTGCTCGTTAACACTTAATTTCTAATCAGCCAATCACATGGCGGCAACTCAG